GGGGCTCAGGGGATGGGCAGTGCCCACTTCCTGCTTCTGAAACACTACTAGTTAGGCTGTATCATTTTGACCTTTATAGGTTGGTCTGTGATGAGCCTATTTTGAGTAACTATTTCACTGAAAAATAATTTGCATACCAGAATCCACCTATGTCAGTGTTCAATGTGGCTCTTAGTGTGCTAAACACCTGCTTCATCTCAAAGACTGCACACCAGCGCTGGCTCACCTCCCACCCTGCCACCTTACTCAACTAAGCTGGCGTTGCCTCTGTGACTTGCTGGGCCACGTGGTTAGTCTGTGGACACATACAGCGCTGGACCTGCGACTCCCACCATGCTGTAGCTCTGTGAGCTACTGGCTGTGGGAAGGCCACCGTCAGCCTGCCGCCACCGTCAGCCTGCTGCCACCATCAGCCTGCGGCCACACTAGCAGGCGTGGGTTGTTTCCTGCTTGTGATGGACAATGCTGGCATGACTCGCAAGTGTCCACATAGATACGTTTTTGTTCCCTTGGGCACCCGTGTGGGGCAGCACTGCTGTCAAATGTGGCCCTGTGGTCCCTGATTTCAGGAACCAGCAGCAATGTGCTAAGGGCCCCATTTCCCTGTCTGCTGTCCTTTGCTGTTGGCTGACTGTGGTGGGGGGCGGTGCAGTGTGCCTCCCCAAGGAGATGGTGTGTTTTAACCTGTGGGTTCTGCCTCGGCACCACCAGGCTTGTCTGGACTCATCTCTGCTGGTTTTTGTTGGTGGTGTTTGTTAGCTGGACAAGTAGAGCTATCTGGGACACCTCTTGGATTGAGAAAACACTTCCATCAGATGGCCTGTAGGCAGTTTATGGGGCATTTTATTGATTAATGATTATGGGAGGCCCCTAGCCCACTGTGGGCAGTGCCACCCCCCGAGCTGGTGGTCCTGGTTTGCAGAATAAAGCAGGTAGAGCAAACTACAGAGAGCAAGCCGGTAGGCAGCAGTCCTCCATGGTCTCTGCTTCAGTTACTGCCTCCAAGTTCCTGTTCTGACTTCCATTCATGATGGACTATAAACTTCAAGCTGAAATAACCCCTCTCCTCCCCAAGTTTGGTCATGGTGTCTATCAAAGCAGCAGAAAACAAACTAAGACACCACCCTAAGGACAGACAGACAAACTAAGACACCACCCTAAGGACAGACAGACAACCTCTTCCTTTCTCAGGCTCCAGCTTTCGCAGGGCCCCTGAGTCTTCAGATGTCCCCTCCTGCACACAGTGATCTGCTTTCTCCTGTGTATTCTGTGTGCAAGCCTCAGGGCTGGGCGGCTGCTTCGGCTCCTTTACTCCTGTATCCCAGGCCTCTCGCCTTATTATTAACCTGACCACTTTTGGAAGTCTGAACATTCTTGAGTTTAACTTGGGTCCCTGGCAAGGTCAGCCAGCTGGACCACAAATACTGCACACCGTACGTACAGGTGTGCTAGAAACACTCTTCTCTGTTTTACTTCACAAAGCGAATTAGCGCTACTGAGGCCCCTCACACACACAACTTTTTTAAAATCCCAATCATTTTCGCCCCTGTCTCCTGGCAAAGCGGAGCTCCCAGGCCAGCCAGAGCACCAGGGCGGGGCAGGCACAGAGAACCTGGGCCAGGGAGCAGCGAAAGGGCTCCAGAAAGGGTGCGGCCTCGGGAGCACTTCCGGGTAAGTGTGGGCTGCTTTGGGAAGTGCTCTGCTGCTGCCATCTTGCGGGAAGGCCTGGCCTTCATCCTGCTATCTCAAGAGTGCCCTCTTGAGGCTGTTCCGCCTCAAGACCTAGAAACCCCACAGAGCAGGAGTGGAGGCTGTGCTACCCGGCTTCTTTCCTAAGGCTGGTGACAGAGACCCTCCACCAGAGTCACTGTGGTGGGCAAGAAGGCCTGAGCTCTCCTGAAGCCAGGCCCTGTGAGCGTTAAGGTCCCCATACTTGGGGAGTCCCGTATCACCTCTGGATTCCTGGGTGGCCGTGGCACTCCCTCTTGTGCTTTTAACAGCTGCTTGCCTCATTCATCCCACAGTGGACAGCATCTGGTTGACAACCACCTAGCAACTCAGGCTACCCAGAACAAAGCGAGAAAGGAAGGTTCCTCCGGGGACACCTTAAGGACTCACCGTGCTAGTGAGGGAGGATCCTACAGCACACCCAAACTTCCCTTCAATGTCCTGACAGGCAGGGCAAGGCGCTCTCCTCCTGTCCCTGCTCAGCAAACCATACCCAGCTGTCTACAGAGCAGAGCAGCTTCCCGTCTTTCCGTCTAGACGGTGGCCTGACAGGGCCAGGGCTGGGGCAGACCTGGGAGGACTTGCTGGATCCACTAGTCTGTGTCGCCCCGCGGCTCCCACAGTCCTTGCTGGGAACGTGGTTCTCTGCTGTGGGGTCTGCCGGGCCAGCCTTCTCTTAGAGCTCGCACCTCCAGCTTTCTGGGTCTTGTAGGTAGCTCTCATCTGTCCCTGTCCTTGCTCCTGCAAGACCCCAACCTCAAGGGTCACCTGGAATCAGGATAGGACATCTCTCCCTCCCAGGGCAACAGGTCCCTGAGTCTTGTCCTGGGCCAGTTCTACACAATGGCATAATTGTGGCTGCGAATGGGATGGGTGCTCTAGGACACACTACACGGTTTGCCTTGCTCAGAGCGAAGCCACAGCACTCAAACGCCGCCGCGGTTGTGTGAGCATGTCAGGCTGGAAGCCCTGGGGTCATGACCACCAGGTGCTGGACTGCCTGCAACCTTCTCCGCCCTCTTTTCCTCCCCAAGTTCAAGCCAGCTGGATACATTTTACTGCCCTCCGTGCACACGGCACTGTCCTCCGGCTTCCCCTGCAGCGGTCTAACCTTAACCCTGAGTTAACCTACATGTGGGAGGAGGCTGCAGGGCTGGGACTGGCTGGGGTCAGCCAGGAGCAGGGGCTGGCAAGCTAAACTCCCGAGGTAAGAGGGGCTAGGGCAAGGGGGAACAGGTCAGGACCCCAACCTCCGGACCCCCTCCGGCAGCTGTGCTCCTACCTGCCCAGATCCTTCTAAGCCAGCTTGTTCGGGGCCACCAGGCAGAAAGCCTGCTGGGGGCGACAATGCTCCTGTCCCACGCAGTCGCGGGTGGCGTGGCTGGCAGGGGTCCCTGTGGGGAAAGCGTGGCTGCTGTTGGCCAGGGTTTGGGGCGGGCAGCGGTGTTGGATTCTGTGGGCTTTGCTTTGAGCTCCCGCCCAGAACCCCCACTAGCCTGGCCTGAGAACAGCCACTGTCAGATGCTTCCTGAGAGCCCACCACGGCAGGGCTCCTACAGAAGAGTGTGTGGCCGGCTCACTACACGACGACGCTCTCCTCTTCTCCAGGCAGGTCTGACCATGGCTGGGTCCTAAGAGCCGGGTAGGAGAGGCATGTCGAAGTGGGGAAGGCAGGCAGGGTCTCTTATGGACCCATCGGCCCAGCAAGGCTGACTGTGGGCCTACGGAGTCCGGCTGGGCCTGCCACCGAGGCAGGAAGGCTGTAGGCCTGGACTGGCTGGGGCTAGATTCCCGCCCCCCCCCCAAGAACATAAGAGAACTCATAGCCTGTACTTCATGGTGTTAGGAACCAGAAGGTGGGACCCTGAAATTATCCTGCAAGAAACGTGCTTACACGAGGGGATGGGACTTAGGGAAGCTGGCCAATGCAGCGTTACGGGTACATAATGGCTCCAGATTCCTGGGGGCAGGGACCAGGCCTATGGTCTGGGCAGGGGAGGCATCCAATATGGGAACTGGCAGTGGAGCACAGGACTGTGTAGCTCTCAACCTAGGTGCAGATTCAGAGGTAAGGGTTCATGCAGGGGGTTCAGGAAAGCCCCAAGGTCCCCAGTCCTAAGTAGGGGAAGTTGAAGGCCTTAGTCCTCTGGCTTCTAACAGTCTCTGGACTCTGGATTTCTGGTTTCTAAGTGCCCTGGCATCTGGCACACACCCTTATGCCATCTCCTGCTTTTTGTCTTTCCTCCCATATTTAAACCCAAACATTAGCTCCCTCATCTGCTTCAAGGGCCTGAGCACTGTGGGGAATGTGGGGATTTGGATCCATGTCAGAGATTTGGGGTAGCAGGTGGGGCCCCTGCCCAGAAAGTCCCAGAAATGTAACCGCAGGGTCCTAACACCTTGAGTCCTACAGGAAGGCCAGGCTTCTGCCTTTCCAGTGCCGCAGGGGTTCTGCACTCCAACTCTAAGGTGTTGTTGGTTTCCAGCCCCGTACCCCATCCTTTCCTCAGCTCTGTTCTCTGGCTGTACACCTGGAGGGGAAAGGGTTAAGGGTGGAGGGCTGGGGTAGGTAGCAGAGAGGCCAGGGCTGTTTGGCAATAATCCCCTCTCCGTGCTGTGTGCGCGCTCGCGGGGTGTGGAGAACAAAGTTAGAACCCCATGTGGGAAAGGCTTCCACTCTAGTCTAGGTGGGCTTCTGACTTCCACTGGGCACTGGTGGCTGGCTCTCCCTTCTCTCTCAGGCTCCTCACTGTCTTCTGCTTTCCTGAGTGTCTCTGCGCCCACCTGCTCTTCCCTCCCAGCACCATGCCATCCAACCACCCTTCCGGTGTCCCATCCTTTGCTGTCTGTCCCTCTGGCTCCCCCAAGGTTTGCACCCCCGCCTGTGACTTTCTTCCTCAGCCATGCCCCTCATCTCTTCCCTGACCCATCCTTCTAGGTGTTCACATCTGTTGGTTCTGCTTGTTCCTCATCTACCCCTCACCCTCTCCCCAGGGCCTCTACCCCCTCGACACTGATGGATAACTTTGGGGTGTTAAGCTCTGGATTAGTTCAGGCAAAATTCTCGATTTTGCTTGCGTTCTTTTCCCCCTGGGTTATGTAAACAGTAATTCTCCCCAGATGGAACCATTTTCCTCACTTCAAGGCAGCTGGGGAGGGGGCTCAGGCAGGGCTGGGAGGAATGCAGGGTCCCCAGGGATTCTCAGCAGGGTGGAGGCTGACTGAGGCCCCATCTGCCACCTCTGTCTACAGGTGCCAGGTCTCCTGTGGCCATGCCCACTGCCTTCGTCCTCTTGCTTCTTCTTGGCCAGGCCACCTCGGATCCATGCTATGATCCAGAAGGGCGCCCTCGCTTCTGCCTCCCACCAGTGACCCAGCTGGTTGGCAGGGTAGCAGTCCCCTGCCGTCAGACTTGCACTCTTCCTGCAGCCAGCCCTGGCCCTACCTGCAATGGTAGTCTGACACTGGACCTGGATGGTCCCTTCCTCTTGACATCTGTCACTCTGCGATTCTGCACCCCAGGGCCTCCAGCCCTGGTTCTTTCTGCTGCCTGGGCCATTGGAGGTCCCTGGAGGCCACTATGGCGTAGGCCTGCCTGGCCTGGAGCTCTGGGGGGGCCTGAGAAGGTAACCTTTCGCTCCCCTCCAGGCCCCAAGGCAAGGGTAGTGGCTAGCCACCTCCGTGTGGAGTTTGGGGGCCAGGCAGGGCCGGTGACCACTGGGGTAAGAGGCCGCTGCCAGTGCCATGGCCACGCAGCCCGCTGCGCTGCCCAGGCCCAGCCCCCACGCTGCCGCTGCCGCCACCACACTACTGGCCCAGGCTGTGAGAGCTGCCGCCCATCCCATCGAGACTGGCCCTGGCGGCCTGCCACACCCCAGCACCCTCACGAGTGCTTGCGTAAGTCGTGGGTATTGTCCCCAACCCTTGCCACTACTTGGCCCCCTAGAACAACATGCAATTGGTCCCTTGTCCCCAAACATGCCAAATGTTCTCTTCCCCTCAGAACTGTGTCTCTTTGCTTGTCCTCACATTGTGCTATGGCCTGGTTCCCCTTCCTTATTTGCCAAGCATGTCTCTCTCTCACACACACACACACACACACACGGAACCCTCTGTCAGGGACTCCACTCACTAGATGCAACCACATGACACCAGGGGCAGTCCTGAGCAGAACATATCCCAGGGCAGGGTGTGGCACTGGGTTTGGGCAAGGGTACAAGCAGACACATTTCCTGACTCCTGGAGATATGGCACAGGAATATATGATCATAAAACATTCTGATGGACCACCAGCTACCAGCCCATTGTCTGGATGGAGAGACTGTGGCCACAGTTTACTTACACGAAGTCACACAGGTACCGGGTATGACTATGGGTCCCAGAGTGCTGTCATACTAGGTGCCCCAGACACAGCCAGGAGCAGCTTCAGCAGATGGCTTTGCCCAATTTTAGCTCCTCTGTGTTGCTGGAGAGCTTCTCTCTAGGTCCCACCAAGCCCCGCAGTCCCACAACCCACATATAAAATAATCACTCAGACGCTTATATTACTTACAAACTGTATGGCCGTGGCAGGCTTCTTGCTAACTGTTCTTATATCTTAAATTAACACATTTCTATAAATCTATACCTTGTCATGTGGCTTGTGGCTTACTGGCATCTTCACATGCTGCTTGTCCTGGCGGTGGCTGGCAGTGTCTCTTATTCCTTCTTTTAATGTAAACATCTGTGTGTTTATTTTATAAGTGGGCTCCAGGACTGGCGGAACTTGGTGGGACCCAGAGAGAAAAGCTCTCCAGCTACACCTCTGCCCACAGCTGTGTGACCTCAGGCAAGGGATTTAACCTCTCTGTGCCTGTTTTCTTCTCCCATGAAGTGGGGACAGTGACAGCACTGTCCCTAAGGCTGTAGAGAAGCCAGTGAGCCAGAGTGCACAAAGCCCTGGAGCCCAGGCCCGTCCCTCACTTGTGAGCACCTGCTATGACGCCTATGACATCACTCCCAGGCAGAAAGGAGACCTGGCAGGAACAGAGCTCAGGTGACTTAAGGGAGCTGTCGTCCCAGATGCTGTCATCCCTAGACCCCCTCTGACATCTCCTCCGGCAGCCACACTGACAGCTGTCTCCACTTCTGCTGTGACCGACCTTCAGCCTATGGGTAATTAACGCACTGGCAGACAGAAGAAGACACACACACTCACACACGCACACATTCCTCAGCCTTTCAGGGAGGCCAGCTCCCAGCCTTCTGCCCTCCACCACCCCAGGGACCAGCAGGGGAGACTCACATGTCCTGAGGCTGGGGCAGGCTCCATCTTGAGCTTGGACAGGGCCTGGGTGCTAGGGAGGCTGTATCCCTGAGTATGATCACAGCTATCCAAATTAAGAGAAGTGCAGCCCTGGGGACCTGGATGAGAGGAAGTGACACATCTCTGCGGCTTTACAGATAAGGTAGCTTGACTGTCCCCTACCTGTCAGGTTGTTTCAGAAGGGGAAGTGCAGCAACGCCATCACTCTGGGTCAGACAGAAGTCTGCCTCTGCAGAGGTGCTGGAGCAGCACTGCCCTGTAGAGTCTTCTAAATCCTTGGGGGACGGCAGAGAGCCTCACTGGGCAGGGAGCAACTGAGGCTCAGGAAAGGAGTGCCGTTCTCCCAAGAACACACGGCTGCCTCTACCTGCCCACAGCACTCCTGCTCTGCCCTGGGGAGCTGCCAGCCCAGGTTCTCAGCCTCTAAGTCCAGGTCTTTTCATAGAGTCACCAGGCTTCTCTGATTTAACATCTCTCTGGAATTCCTGCCACACATACAGAACCCTGGGCCTGGTGATGCTGAACTAGCCTCTGGTTTATGTGGATGGGTTTTTTGTTGTTTGTTTTAGTTTTTCTAAGACTTGTTTATTATGTATACAGTATTGTCTGCATGTGTGCTTGCAGGCCAGAAGAGGGCACCAGATCTCATTATAGATGGCTGTGAGCCACCATGTGGTTATTGGGAATTGAACTCAGGACCTCTGGAAAAGCAGCCAGTGCTCTTAATCCCTGAGCCATCTCTCCAGCCCATCCATCCCCTCTCTCCCTTTTTGACAGTGTCTCACTATGTAGCCTGGGCTGCTTGGAACTCCATATGTAGAGCGGGCTGGCCTCAAACTCATAGAGATCCACCTGCCTCTGCTTCCTGAGTGCTGGGATTAAAGGCATGTGCCACCACTGCCTGGTTGCCTGGCTATAAATTGCTGGGCATAGTGGACACACCCTTAATCCTAGCACTCCGGAGGCAGAGACAGGAAGATTTCTGTGAATTCCAGGCCAGCCTGGTCTATAGACTGAGTTCTAGCACATCCAGGGCTACCCAGAGAAACCCTGTCTTGAAAAACTACAAAGAACTAGCCAGGCATGGTGGATTCTAGGATATACCCGTGCTCAGGAGATGGAAGCATTAAGATCATAAGTTCTGGGCCAGCCTGAGCTTCATGGGGCCCTGTTTCTTCTGCAACCAACCAACCAAATATATGAAAAGTTTCCTCCTGTGTCTGATCAGCAGTGGGGTATGGAAGGCATGGAGGTCCTTGTACTCACAGAGGAACACTAGGGAACCAGACTGTTAAACACACGGCTGTCCCTTCTAAGGGAGGGATGTAGAACTTGTTTTCCACCCAGAAGGCCGGGAGCAGCCCTGGTTAATATCCTGGTGACCTCTGCACTATCTGTGTAGCCGAGACCACACCAGATCCCCCCCACTCCACACACACACTTATCTTGTTTTTCTCAATCTATAGAACAGCTTGTTAATCTATAGAACATCTTTATGGAAGACGTCACTTGTACTTCACAAAGAGTCTCAATGTAGTCATGTCTTAAGCTTTGTTGTGCACACAGGATGGAGTTAATTATCACCAGGAAACTTCACCAAATTGTGCTGTGCTTAAATATGCCTAAAATAAACTACTTAGGGTCAGACTCTCAAAGTTTGAGCCAACACCAGTTACTGAGTCATGTTGAACTGAACTACCTTCTTGCCTCCCGTGGGTCGTTACTCTGCTGGCTGTGGTGGTCGTAGAGACCCGTTTGACAGTTACTGCCTTCAAGAATCTGAAAAATGCTCCCAGGAAAACACACACACGTTCACCAGATCTGTGGGCTTTGTGGAAACTTTAGAGTACACACTCAGATTCTGCTTCTGGCTCCTTCCTGGCCGTGCTGCCTCGGGCAGGTGACTTCACCTCTGTGTCTCATTTCCCAACCTATAAAACGGGATGGTGCTGTCCAGTATGACCCACACTCAGAACCAGTGCCTAGTGCATGGAAGTAGGCTTAGCGCATGCTCTGTGCTGGGCTCTGAATTAAACATGCTTATCTTAATCTCCTTGGATGTAAACAGAGCCAGTGGGGCTGAGCTGCAGGATAGAGTAGCTTCAGGCAGAGGAGGGGTCCCCCAGCCCAGCCCATTCTTTCAGCAATATGACCTCTCGGGAGGGTCACAGTTCAGCCTGAGAATTAAGATATCCTGGGACTGAGCCAAAGGCAGTTTCTAAAACCACAGACCTACGTTCTTTCCTCAGGAAGGATAGTAGGGAAAAGGCTGGGGATGGGAGACAGACCTGGCCCTAATGTGTCTGTGTGATGGTTTCTGACATCATCTTGTCCCTAGCCTGCTCCTGCAACCAGCATGCCCGACGCTGCCGATTCAACTCCGAGCTATTCAGGTTGTCAGGTGGCCGTAGTGGGGGTGTGTGTGAGCGGTGCCGCCACCACACAGCGGGGCGGCATTGTCACTACTGCCAGCCAGGGTTCTGGAGGGACCCAAGCCAGCCCATCACTAGTCACAAGGCATGCAGGGGTGAGTGTGGCCTGAAGCCAGGCCAAAGGGGAAAGGACACAGAGCCAGGGTTCTCTATTGGCAGGTACAGAGGTGGGTTTGAGGGAGGAGGCTGGAGTCTAGATGCTTGGGGAGGGTCCACAGGTGTTGCAGGAGCCTCTGGGTCCCAAACATCTCATTCCTTTCGTCATGAAGCCTGCCGCTGCCATCCAATTGGAGCAACAGGAGGGATGTGCAACCAGACCAGTGGCCAGTGCTCCTGCAAGTTAGGGGTCACAGGCCTGACATGCAATCACTGTGGTCCTGGATACCAGCAGAGCCGCTCACCTAGGATGCCCTGCCAACGTAAGTCCCACGGCACTTGATGCCATAAATCCTGGACCGGGATGGAAGATAACGGTCCAGGTTTAAGTGGAAAACGGTAGTGTGGCTTTGGCTTTTGGGTGGTAGTGGATGAACTCTGATTCTCCAGAGAATTTGGGTCTGAAACTATACCACAGACTCTTCAATCTTGGGAAGAAGAAGGCTAAGGTTTTGGACTCCTTGTTCTTGAGGGAAGGGGCGGGTCTGGGGGAGGGTAAAGGATGGCTGTACCCTTGGGAGTTGGCATACCTGGATTCCTCGTGGTGATTCCTAGAGTTTAAATTGAACTTCTCTGGTTTGACAGGAATTCCAGAGGCAACAACTGCCCTTGCTACTACCCCTATTGCATCCCGATCTGGTAAGAGGCTGGCACAGACACTCCAGGCAGCAAAGGATATCTGGGACGGGCTGACTGGGTCCGGAAGGCACCCAGCCCTCCTTTTTTGTTGTTTATTATTATTATTATATTATTGGTTTTATTTTAGTTTTGCTTTGTTTTTTTGAGACAGGGTTTATCTGGGTAGCCCTGGTGGAACTGGGTCTGTAGACCAGGTTAATCTCGAACTCATAGATTGGCCTGCCTTTGCCTCTTGAGTGCTGAGATTAAAGGCGTGTGCCACCATGCCTGGCTTCCAGCTTTTCTTGAGAGGCAGGGGCAGACAGTGCAGCTGTCTGTGGAAATAGGGTGGGGAGATGGGCTGTGATCCAGGCTGTGGAACCTACTGCAGAGAGCCTGACCCTCTCCAGACCCACAGTGTCAGAACTATTGCAACGTTTCGGACACCAGCGTGCACATGAGCCTTCAGAGGTACTGCCAGCAGGATTACGGTAAGAGATGGAGAAAAAAGGGCCTGCCTTCTTCCTGCCCTGCCATTTCCTTATTTTGAACGGGAAAGGATATTGATCCTAAAGGACTCTTCCTTGCCAGGATGTGTGAGAACAGAAGACAATGGTGGGGACAGTGGGGGGACCCCCACCTTCTTGTGTCTCCTTGTCCCCCATAGTCTTCACTTGCAGTTTCATCCTGTCCTTCAGCCTGACATCTCGGAGTGTTGGAAGGAGAAGAGGAGTCTAGAGGAACAGAAGGGCCCTGGTTCTATCCTGTCTTTCTTCCAGTCTCAGACCTGAGCCTATGTCTCCCTCCCCATCAGTACACACCCTTCCGCAATCTGAGGCCCACGAGCTCAGCTCTCAGACGCTTGGGAGTCAGGCCTAGCTAACAGAAACAACCCAATCCCAGCTACTTCCTTCCATACGGGACCATGGGCCCCTTTGCCCTCAAGATCATCAAATGACGTCAGGGTCACAAGTCTTTGAAGTGGAGCTTCTTCCACCCTCTTCTCAGGGATACTGAGCCCACAGATCTGGCCTGTCAGTCGGAGTCCAGGTCGGCCTGCCCCTTTCCTGCCATAGCACTGACTCATGCTAGCATGACCTTAACCAACTCTCAGGCCTTAGCGCTCAATTCATCCTTTGGACCCCCAATCTACCCCAGAGCCTTTCTGGCAAGACCCATCTCTCCTGAGGCCTCCAATCCGGGACCTTCTCACTGTTACACCAATACTCTGGACTTAGCTAGGCATGGTGGTCCAGGCCCAAAACCTCCAGTTCCCAGGAGGCTGAGGCAGAAGGATTGCAGTGAGTTCTAGATTAGTTTACATTGCAGAATAAGTCCTAGGCCAGCCTCAGCATCTTAGTGAGACCTTGTTGCCAGGACAGTAACCACCCTGGAATCCCGAGGCTACTGTTAATAGTAACACGATCCCAAAAGTTCTAGCCAGTTTGATTGGAAGCCCTCAGGAAACTCCCTGCCTGACCTCCGGTGAGCAGGTGAGCATCATCCTGAACCTCCACCTCCCTCACCTTTCTCAACCACAACCCTGAAACTCTACTTCACACGCTCTTCCTAATTACAATTTTGGGCACCCCCTGCAACTCACATGGCCCTTACGACCATGATCCTGGAGTTCCCCTCCCCCATGTCACATATCATTGCAGGCCACCATCCTAGACCATCTCATCCGCCCTTCCCAACTTTGACCCAGGCCTCTAATTCATATATTCAGACCAGTGGTTCTCAACCTGACTATGCAGCGACACTTTAACACACTTCCTCATGTTGTGGTGACCCCTGGCCATAAAACTATTTTCGTTGCTACTTCCTAATTATAACTTCGCTACTGTTATGAATCATAATATAAAGATCTGTGCTTTCTGACGGTCTTAGGTGACCCCTGTGAAAGGGTCGTTCAACCCCAAGACAGGGGTCGAGACTCCACTGTTTGAGAACGGCTAATCTAGGCCCTGCCTGCCCCTTTCCACTGCCAACGTGTAGGGTCTTCTCCATCAGGCCTGTCCTGGCTCCTCAGGGACATCCTCCTACTTGTCTGACTTGGTGTCTTCCCGCAGTTCTGCACGCACAGGTTAAGGATTCCGAAGAGCTTGCAGCGTCGTCGGAGGCGGTGGCTCCCGAGTGGCGGCGGCTGGCCGTGCACGTGCTGGCCGTGTACAAGCAGCGCACGTGGCCCCCCGTGCGCCGCGGCGGCCAGGAGGCCTGGGTGCCCGGCGCCGACCTGGCCTGCGGCTGCCTGCGCCTGCGCCCAGGGGCCGACTACCTGCTGCTGGGCAGTGCTGCGGCCCACCCCCACCCCGCCCGAGGCCTCGTCCTGGACCGCCGCGGCCTCGCGCTGCCCTGGAGGCCACACTGGGCCCTGCCGCTGCGGCGGCTACGACAGAAGGAGCGCGGTGGCGCCTGCCGCGGCCTGCTGCCTCCCACCCGGCCCGGGCCCAGCGGCTGACCTGAGCCTGACCGCCTTAGGCAAGGTGCGAGTCCACGCAGAGCCTTTGACCTCGACGTGCGTGCGTGCGTGCGTGCGTGCGTGCGTGCGTGCGTGCATGCTTGCTGCGGAGCCAATCCGAAGCTGCAGCGCACCTGACGCCATTCCGCACGCACGTGCTTCTGCCATGTAGGCATGAGCGACTTTTAGCAAAAGGCAGGAAGCCGCAAGCAGGCCTCTGGGAAGTCACCCCGTCGGCCTGTGAGCCTCAAAGTTATTTGTCCCAATAAAGCCTCATGTCCCGTGGAGTTGTGTCTGCAGACCCCTGATCCATGTTGGGAGAGTCTTTAGGGGGCGAATGAAGAAGGCCTTGAGTAAATTTGCCGAGCTGAAGTTCTAAGTGAGTTTTCTGAGCAGAAGTGTGCAATGCTCTTAGAGGAAAGGACTCGAGTGGAGTCACTGGGTGCAGTTACATGTGTCGCCTGATGGTTAACCAGAAGACAATAGGCTAGGTATGGCTGGGAAAGGCAAGAAATTTGACAAGGGCGCCAGAGGTCTCACATATCCAGAAACTTTGGCATTTAGATATTCTTTAGTATTCTTATGGGCCTGAAGATAGTCTCCACGGGGGAAAAAGGGAACTTTGAATATCACATGGTCTTGAAATATGGTGTAGAGCCATGGTGGTACACGTCTCGGCACTTAGGAGGTGGAGGATCAGGAGCGCAAGGATTATCTAACAAATACTGTTTGAAGATAAAACCGATTTATCCACATGAAAGGTTTGGAACAGGCCTGGCCCACAGCAAGCACCGTATGAGTTAACTGTCACTGTTTGAATACCCAGAGGCCTCACTAGCCTCTGAGTACTCTGATGGCGAGGACCTTGCTGGGATCCCAAGGTAATGGGTGTTGCGGGCAGGGAGAGAGACTTAAGGAAGTTCCCAGGGGTGTGGGAACCTTGGGAGCTGCTGGAGCTCTGGCGGTGCCCACCTCCCACCCAAGAGCCTGGGTGTAGGAGATGAAAGCAGGGAGCAGAGTGAGGCTTCTGTGTTCCTTGTGACTCAGACTTTGTTTCTAGCAGCCGAAGCGAATTGGTGTGAAATCCACATCTGTGCCCCTTGCCGACCAGGCCCTTCCCATCCCTCCCTGGAGGCGACAACCATGCCTGTGCACAGTAATGGAGGTGGCCACCAGACCTCAGAGGAGGCCCCGGTTCACCTCACAGCATAGCCAGATGACTTCATTGTGGTGGTGGTGGGTCTCCTGAAGTCTGTATTTCTTCTAAAATGAATTTGCCTAGAATAAAGGGGAGAAGGCGGGTCCAGATGAAAGGAAACGCTTTTGGAAGATCCAGAAACTGGAACTCAGGCTGTAGCTCAACTCAGAGTGCTTACTTAACATGCATGAGGCCCTGGGTTTGGTTCTCCTCACCCACTGTAAACCAGGTGTTGTGGTAAATGCCTACCATCCCAGAACTGGAGAGGTACAAAGTAGGAAGATGAGAAATTCGTTCTCAGTCACATAATGAATTAGAGGCCAGCCTGGGCTACATGAGACCCTGTCTCAAAAACAAGAGCAAAATTCCAAAGGTTAAAGGAGATGCTGAGCCAGGTATGGTGTATCCCTGTAATCTCAGCGCTTGGGAGACTGGGGCAGGAAGAGCCGGAGTTGGAATTTGAGGCCAGCCTGGGCTATACAGTGAGACTTTGTCTCAAAAAACTATTTTTCACTGTAAATTCCATGGCTTAAGAAAACAGGCATTAAGCCAGGTGGTGGTGGCACATACCTTTAATCCCAGCACTGGGAGGCAGAGCCAGGTGGATCTCTGTGAGTTTCAGGCCAACCTGGGCTACAGAGCGAGATCCAGGACAGGCTCCAAAACTACACAGAGAAACCCTGTCTCAAAAACAACAACAAAAAAAAAAAGAAAGAAAGAAAGAAAGAAAACAGGCATTAGCCAGGCAGTGGTGGCACATGCCTTTAACCTCAGCACTTGGGAAGCAGAGGCAGGTGGATCTCTAAGTTCAAGGCCAGCCTGGTCTACAGAGTGAGATCCAGGACAGCCAGGGCTACACAGAGAAACCCTGTCTCAAAAAACCAAAACCAAACAAAAAAAGCTGGCATTTGCCTGGTGGTGGTGCACATCTTTAATCCCAGCACTCAGGAGGCAGGGGCAAGTAGATTCCTGTGAGTCTGAGGCCAGCCTGGTCTACAGAGCAAGTTCTAGGACAGCCAAGGATGTTACATAGTGAAACCTTATATTGAAAAACAAAACAAAAACAAACAAAACCAAGCATTTGTTGTCCCACATTCTAGAGTAATTTTTTATTTTGTTATTTTTTTGAGGCAAGGTTTCTCTGTGTAACCCTGGCTGTCCTGGAACTCACTCTGTAGACCAGGCTGGCCTCCAACTCAGAGATCCTCCTGCCTCTGCCTTCCTAGTGCGGGGATTAAAGGTGTATGCCACACTGCCATATTCTAGAGTTTAAAATTAAAAGTCAGGGTGTTGGTAGGGCCACACTAAGAAGGTGTTAGAGAGGGCCATCCCTGCCTCTTCCAGACTCTGGGGCTACCTGTGACCCTGGGCTTGTGGCCACGTAATTCTCGTCTCTGTCCCTGTCTTCAGAGTCTGCTGTCTCTACTCTTCCGCCCTTGGCTGATGAGGATACTTGTTCTTTGATGGGGGTCCATAATAATAATGAAGGGTGATATCTCAAATACTTCTCAGGTGGTATAGGATTATCATCCCAGCCACATGGAACACTGAGGCAAGAGGATGGAAAGTTCGAGGCCTGTCTGAGCTACATAGTGAGAAACTGTCTCAAAGGAAAAAGTTACAAAAGGGCTGGAGATGTTCCTCATCTGTAGAATGCTAGTCTAGAATCCCCTAGTTAGGGTCTGGGGGCAATGGTAGAGCACCTGCCTAAAATCCTGCAGCGTGGCTCAGCTGTAGAGTGCTTGCCTAGACTCCCCTAGTAAGGGGCTGGGGGTGTAGCTCAGTTGTAGAGTGCTTGCCTGGCATACATAAAGCCTCGGCTTCAATCCTCAACACAGGGAAAACAAACAAACACCTTAATCACACAAGCTACGACCCCTTTGTCAAATAAGGCCCACTCCTGGGTGCCAGGGCGTGTCTCAGCAGCAGAGTGAACACTAGTCTCCACTGCAGTGGGTGTCGCCCCTTCCTGGCTCCTCACTCCACCTGTGGAATAGGGCTGGTGCTGACCCCACATCATGGGCAGCTTCAGGGCTGAGAGAAGCCTACACAGCTGGGTCTTCCTGCTGGTGCCCCCACTCTAGTATGTTCTCTCTGCTTGCTCCCCGTGACCTGTTCTACTTTTTTCTTTTGTTTTTTTGAGACACGTCCTGGGTGGTGTCCAACATGAACTTTTTTTTCCTTTTCTTTCTTTTCTTTCTTTTTTTTTAAAGATTTATTTCTTTATTATGTATACAGTGTTCTGTCTGCATGTATTCCTGCATGCCAGAAGAGGGCACCAGATCTCATTACAGATGGTTGTAAGCCACCATGTGGTTGCTGGGAATTGAACTCAGGACCTCTGGAAGAGCAGCCAGGGCTCTAAACCTCCAAGCCATCTCTCCAGCCCCAATATGAACTTTTTCAACTCAGCATGTCCACCTGCCTGCCTCCCTCTGTCCTGGAGGATCTCTTCAAGTCATTTGGTCCTTGACTGGGCCCTCTCCTCTGAGTACCTGTCCTGCGGTTTTGCTCTCTGCAGGAGTGACTTTATGCAGGGTCCCTGTGTGTGGCTCCAGGTCTGTGTGTATTTCTCTGTCCTTGTATGCTTGGTGTCTCTATGAGTCTTTGGATCTCTACCCTCCATTTCTGCCTGAATGGTCCTTCTATCCTGCCCCTTAGTGTCTGCCTCACTGTATGTCTCTGTGTCTCTTTCTCTGCATCCGTGTGACTCTGTCTCTGTCCTTCTTGCCTGCCCAACGTCTCCTTTAATCCCATGGCTGGGTGTTCCCTCTTCTATCTTTAACGTATTTCTTTATTTCTGTTTTGTTTTCGTTTTTCAAGACAGAGTTTCTCTGTGTAGCACTGGCTGTCCTGGGACTTGCTCTGTAGATCAAGCTGGCCTCGAACTCAGAGATCCCCCTGCTTCTGCCTCCTGATTGTTGGAATTAAAGGCATGCGCCACTCCTCGCCCCCCCCCCCCCAGCTTCTATTGTTATTTCTTAGTGCCTGCCTCCTTCCACCTCTCTGTCCTGTAGCTCCTTCATTCTTGTTCTCTGTGGGCTGTTAGTTGTTTTGTTTAGACAAGGTCTTACTGTGTAGCCTAGGATGGCTTCAAATCCTCGGCCTCCTGAATGCTGGCATCACACGTGGGGACCACCATGCTTGGTCTATGTGTTTGTACGTCTCTGTCTCCTTTCCTGTGGCCTGGCATCATGCTTTTCAGTGCCTGAGCGCCCCCCCCCCTTTCTGCATGGCATCTTGCTCGTTTTTTTTCTCTAAGCAGGTCTCTTTTTGTCTCTGTGACTCTAATGTGTCTCCATACTTCCTTCCTGCCTGGTTCTGACCATCAAGTCTCTCTGTGTCTCTCTATTTCCCTGTCTCTCCCTCCTACCTGACATCTTGCTCCCCCTCCCCCCCTTCTGAGCACCAGGTCCCTCCTTCGCAGCCTAAGCTCGCCTCCAGCCTTCTCATCCTCGAGTCCCCCCCCTGGCCTCTGCCTCCCCCTCCCGGCCAGTGGCCTTTCTGCACTCCAGGTCCCCAGCGCCCAGTCCGTTCTGGCTTTGGCACCTGGAGCAGGGCCCTCTGGGCGGCACCGCACCTCCCTTCCCAGGGCTGGTCCCGGGGTGCGGCCCTTTCCACTGCGGAGGCCCCCAGCCAAACATCAAACCAGTGGGAGCATGCGGGTGGGGAAGAGGGAATCAGAACTAGAGGTGCTGGGGGTGGGGGGGAGGGAGGGGGGAGGAGATGGAAAGAGGGAGAGGTAGCACAGGGCGAGGGAGGAGGTGAGAGAGAAGAAGGGAAGGCAGAGTCGAACAGGGAG